GGCTCCACACTGGGCTGGAGCCTGCTTGGGATTCTCTCTCTCCCTCCCCCTCTGCCCCTTCCCACCCCTCTTCCTCTCCCCCTCTGAAAGAAAGAAAGAAAGAAAAAAGAAAGAAAGAAAGAAAGAAGAAAAAAAGGAAAAAAATCTTCATTTAGGTTCACTAAACAATGAGTCATTAACATTCACATTACAAGAAGATTCTTAATGATAGGTCACTGACATAAATTCCTATGGGATTCCCTAAATTTTTTTGTATCTCACATTCCATCAAGCAGTCTACCAAACAACTTGTATCATAACTAAAAACAAAAAGAACATTTTTCTGAGAAAAATATTTATATATTTAAAAGAATTCATTTAAACTATCACTCGATTGAATTTTAGTTTGTAAAATTTTTCAGTTAAAACAGCGTTAGAAATAAATTTTAGTAATACAAAATTATATCACATATATCATATAGTCTACATCAACAGACTAATATTCATTGAGGAAAGAGAGAAAACACATTCAATGTCTACTACGTACCAGAAAGTATGATAGATATTTCGCATAGACTAGCTTAGTTTAATTCATTTTACAGTCAGATAAAGTTGGCATTACTAAAAATCACTCCACAATTGGCAAAAGTGATTCAGAGAGTTGTCCACAGTGGTTTAGAGGGAGGGCTCTGGAGTCAGGCTTTCAGGATTAGGATTCTGGTTCTAATCTGCCACTTAAGTCTTGTGCCTTGAGGAAGTTACTCAGTTTTTCTCTCCCTCAGCAGCAGAAAGTATTGGATGAGATAATACAGTTACAGAGACTGGCACATAGTAAGTACTCAGTAAATGCCATGTACTACTACTACTAACACCCTCGAACAATCTTATCACCTAAGATCAGATAGTACAGAACACTGGTTTGAGTCTTAATCTGTCTGACACAAAAGAAGTCCTGCTCATTGCATCACATTGTCACTAATGAGAATTTCTTGCTTAGTGTATTTTTAGTTGTTTGATAAACAAAAGCCTATTTATACCTTGCACCAGAAAACATATTTTTTCAAAGCAAATTCTTACCATATCACACAATTAGGAAGGTTTATTTTGTATCATGTAAAGAATGTAATAACATATGTTCTGAAAAAAGGAGGGTGGACCAAATGAGAAAGATATGTCATTTACAATGTATCTGATCATCCAAATCAAAGGGAAATCAAATTTCTAATTTATGGAGTCATTCTGAGATACAAAATACAAAAAATATGATTACTTCAAGATTAGAGTTATACTTCTTGAAATAATTTATTAATTATTTGTTCATTCTTTTAGTCATTAAAACCATTTATTAAATGTCTAATGAAAGGCAATTTGTTTAGTTATTGCTCTCAGTATTCACTGGACTGAGATTGACGAGTCCAATATAAAATAGTTCCTGAGGAATGACAAAACATCCAAAAAAAACATCCAAACAGCTTTGATCACTTGGCAGAATTACTCAAGGTGATCCCAGGGCTTGAGAATCATTATGAATAGAATGAAATCAAAATGGTAACTACATACTGCCCTAATTTACTTATCAAAAACAGGTAACATCAAAAATGCTGTTTGTGATGCCACAAGCTATTTAACTCAATTCAGTAATATTTATCTACTCATTTGTTGATGAATTTTTTTGTGCCATGATAAAAGCTACAACTATGTGTTAAAAGAAAAGGTGACAAAAAAGTGTTATTCCTGGAAATTTAAGTACTAAAGGGGCAGCCATACAAGATCCAAAAACCAGCTAAAGAAAAATCATCTTAAACCCTTCCAGGCTTTCTTTGACTTGGTGTTGGCTTCAAAACTTGAGTTAACACATCCTCTATTTTAAGCCACAATATCTAGAAAATGGATAGTTCAAAACCAGTTTTCATCACTACAAATAAAGTTCAAAATATAAGTCCTAATTAATTACTTAAGTCTCTATTGTAAATACTATCACTGATAGAAGTTCAAATATAAAGTAATACAGCCCATATTATAACAACCAATTTCCAAGATTAAGGATATATAATTTTTAAAATATAAAACCATAGTATTAGAGATACTCTTGTAGATCATCTAGCCCACTGTCATGGTAACAAAACCCAGCATGTACTGAGTGCTTACTATAATGATCTATGTATTTTATCACATTTACTCTAAATAATCCAATGTGCTATTATTATTGCAGTTTTATAATGGTGGAAACGGAAGCACAAAATTGTTAACATATTCAAGGGTGCACTAATAATACAGTAAACCCGTGATTTGAACCCAAGTCTGTCTGACTTGAAAGTCCACACATATAACAACCATAATACATAGTCTTGATGATAAAACAAAGCCACAAAAATTCTGCACAAAGCCTATTTACAAAGGCTCCAGAAAATAAGATTTTTCCTTCAATAAATTATTTTAATACTAACCCCCTATGCAGAGTAAAACTCATCAAGATTTCTAAGGACAGTATAATAGTACCACCAGAGAAACAATAAAAAGTTTCATAAAAAAGGATTACTGAGTGGAAGAAAGAACATGGAAACTAAAGCTTCAGCTTGAAACACAGAAGACAGAGAAGTAACTGATTTTATAGCTTAGCTCAATTTCTCCAAAAAGTAATTAAAAGTTAGATAATATTATAATTGTTGGCATATGTTTATTATGCAAACAGATTTTCAAAAAAAGAATATAACTAATTTTCTCTGGAAATTTAAAAACTTCAAATAGGTTCTCCTTCATCTAGAATAATTTAATAATAACTAAAAATAAGAGGATATGTCCTATTTCAAGCTCTCATTCATCTATATGAATTTATGATATAGCCAGAAAACAAGAAATTCTATTGACCCTTGCCCTACAGCTAAGAATCTGGGTTTTTCAGGTAGAGGGAGAAGTCCCATTTAATAACTTGGTTTTAAAACTTTAAAAACCAAAAGACTGTACCACTGATGCACACACTTATCTATAACGGCCCCCTTCAAAACTTGAAATAACAGAAGACTATTATTACCGATAGATACAATTTTCCACAAAAGAGCCAACCTCAGACATCAAGGGCTTTGACACAATTAATGCAGAAGTATTAGATAAGAATTCAAAATAGCACATAACTGAATTGCAGGGTAGCTTGGAATTGGGTATGTATTATTACTAAAGAGGATAGCGATACTTTTCTTATTATATGTTTTCTGTTGGATTTAAACTAAGAACATGTATATCGCTGCAAAAGTTGAAGTTATTTATTACAGAGAAAAATTAGGATGAATGATACAAAAGAACTAAAACCAAATAAAAATGAAAATCAGAATGCTGACCCCTTACATTGTCTTCTAACTCCATGATGAAATAAATACAGTTTAAATACCAAAATATAAACATTAAAATGAGTTTTGAAGACAGGCAATGAAAAATAACCATGTGCCCTGGATGAATGGACCAGATAACCTGTTAAAATATGATTTTAGCACTAAGATTTTATAATAGCTATTCATGTAGATATAAATTATTGTGACACTTTTAGTTATAACATTTTCAAACTATATAATCTTTCTACTTTTTCTTTACAAAGCAACAAATTCCATTTCAGGTTAAAATGATTATAGACAATATTAATTCATAAGGAATATTTAAATTACACAGGGGAGTTTTTCTACAGGCTACTTCATCCCCAACTTCTTTTCATAGAACTTACTAAGTTTTTAATTACTGATTCCAATGTATATTGGTTCACTTAGATGATAAAGAGCAAAACATTTGAATTTACATCCAGGACTGAAATTTAAAGTTTTATCTTTCCACTAGGCTGATATCCACCCCTCCCGATGAAATTATTTAAGATCTTGTAGCAAAATAGTATCACAGTAGGGCATGACTTCAGGATTCCTTTTTACTTCAAAGCTTTTTACTTCAAGACTCCAACTTTTACATTGATATAAAAGAAAGCATGACCCATGGATAGGAGCTGGGTGTTGTTAAGTGTACAGGTCACATTTATACTCATGTTTATACTGTACATAAAGGTAGTCTCAGTACAGGAATAATATTATTAGCAATTAAAACAGAATTTTGTTAATAGCTTATTTAGATAATAAATATGAGAAAATCATGTTACATTTCAATGGACTTTATTTTCCCATCTTTGCTTTATTCACTAGGTTTTCCAACAATTCAAAATTGGATGATCCATGAAGAACTTCACATATATGTGTACATACTAGGGAAGCATTCCTATATTGCTTCTGGATTAAAAAAGAATGTTTACCTATGTGATTTTCTCTTAAAATTTTCCAAACGTAGCAATGTACAGATTAAAAATAGTTGTTAAAATTCACATTTAACTTCTTACAGAAATGATTCTAAGAGACAAAATTAAATCAGCATTTGATGCATGAGGTATGCTTTAATAAAAAGGAAGGAAGCTACAGAATTGCACATGAAATAAACCTAATTAGAAAATAACTGAATTTTTATATAAACATGGATATGCCACTGGGTAGATTTCGATTCTCATATATGAACTATATATAAAGGAAAGCTAATATCAATTAATATTATACTAGTATTATGATAACATAAGTATAAAATAATACTTATAATATATAAATTATGTAACTATTATCAAATACCACTTTTTCAGAATAAACTTTACCCTAGTAATTTTGTTTAAGCTAACAGGATTTCATGGATGATCCAAACCATAAGCATTTCCAAAGGATAAGGTTAGGACTAATATTTTTCCTCAATTTTTATTAAAATCATTATGCTACATCTGGTAAGAAGTTTTTATTTATTATCAAGCAAGTCATTTCTTTATGATTATAAGTGTGAAGTTTTAATATTGTATGAATATAAATCTGCCTTAGCCTAAAGATACTAAAGATTTATTAGCACTTCAGGGATAAAAACCAAATATTATAACACATATACACAGCATCAACTGTGCCAGGCATAATCTAAGTGTATAAAAATTACAAGAAATTACAAATTTAAAGAAAACTTACCAGACAGTTGTTTCCACTTGACTGTCATTGAGCTGCCGATTGTCCAGTTGGGCAAAAAGGGGAAAAAGCACTTGAATCCCTCCAATTGAATGAATTGCACTATGAATTGAATGTGTTACTATAGCTTTCACATCCTATGTTCAAAAACAAAAATGTGTATTAAACTCCTGAAGCATGAAGTTATCACTATTTCCTTGTTCCAAATAACTTTGTAAAAAATTTTTAAAACAGACATTTTAAATTCCTCAATTATAAAATTTTTGATACACATATAAAATACAAATGTGAAATATCTTTGCCAACCACTTCTAAATTTGAATAAGTTGAGATTTTTACACTGAAAATATGAAGCTATAAATCAAAAAACAATTTAGAATAAGAAATACTATTAGTAGATTTAAAGATTTCCAAGTAATTTTTATATGGGGGTGTTATACTAGTACATTTTTAAAGCAAAGTATATTTTTGTGTCTAACAACTATCTGTTCAGCTAATCAACTGATTTTATCTCAAAGGATTATAGAACAGACAAGATAACAGAGATTACAGATTCCCTACTAAGGAGACTGACTAGTCCAGGGTAAAGTATATTGCCAAAAAATAAAAATAAGAAAATAAGGGAGAAGGTGAAAATGTCATGCAAAGAACTAGAAAAAAAAAAAAAGAAAAATAAATAGCAACTATAGATCTACAGATTAGCAAGCTTTAATACGTAAATGAGAACATTAAACTAAGCTACTATTCACCAACCTGGAGCATTAGAGCATGTGGGGAATGAACAAAAATTGATGCATTTTCCTTTGGTGATGATTCCAAGCATAGCTGAGCATCGGTGGCCTTAGCATTATATGTAAATGCAATACTACTTGCAAGTTTCCCATCATACAGAACCTGTTTATGATGTTCTGCCAAATGAATGTCACTCTCAGATTTAAATTTGAAGGTGCTCTGAAAAAATAAAACTAAATTAAATACTCTTTTTAAATGTAACATAATAAAACTCTTAAAGTTTTAAAGCAGAGAAACATTTAAAATAATAGACAATTTGTTTTGACCCTTCCAAGTGTCAGGCATTAGTGGTATTATATTATTTCGTTATTCTCACTTCAATTCTATGAGTTAAATTTTACTCATCATGTTAATAAACACACTCAGATCTGAATATTTTTGTTTTTATTGTTTCTGATTATTTTTAAAATAATTTCATTAGAAAAAATATAAAGCCAGATGTTATTACATCTGTAGTAAAAGGATTTTGATTTAATATTTCATAACATAGATTTAATTTTTCTGGTTAACACATTCAAGAATATTAACATGAGTAAACAGTACCCAGTACATGAATTACTACTATAGAAAAATGATTATCATTTAAGACTATGAAAAATGTTTATATGCAAAAATATTTATGTCTCTACTCTAAAAAGTATATCAGCATATTGAGTAACGATAATATCCACAAAAGTATCAAAAAGTTAAACCCAGAAGAAAGTTTCACTAAAACATGTAACCGAATGGCCAAAGACACATGAAAAAGTCTCGACATCACTCGGCATCAGGGAAATCCAAATCAAAACCTCAATGAGATACCACCTCACACCAGTCAGAATGGCTAAAATTAACAAGTCAGGAA